AAAAAAAAAAAGATTACATTGAGAAAATTCTTAACACATAGTGAAAAGAGACAATAAAAGGAGGTGTTTTTATTCAAAGGTATAACTGGATAAGTAGATTTGTTTACAACCATTCTTGTGAAATGCTTTTTAAAAAAATACAACCAACTTCTTTGCAAATAGCAGACACATACCTCAACTATGATTACCTAATTTTTGGTGGATAATGTACATGATTAGGCAGAAATAGGCAAGCTCACACTGGTAGATAAACTATCAAATACTCAGTCAAAACTCCGTTTGTGGCCCCCACTTCTTGATCGATTTCTATTCCCACTTCGTCTTCTACCATCTTGTCGACTTCCTGACCGACTCCCCTGTCGACTCTGTCTACCTGACCGGCCACTGGATCGACCACCTGACCGGCCTGACCGGCCTGATCGGCCACTTGACCAGCCCCTCCGTTGTCTGGAATTAGAAGACGATGTGTTTCCATCATAATATTCTTCAATTTCAGGTAATTTGGCCGGCACTGAGAGTATCCAGTCTGAATCATGCCATTCTGCCTGTTAGGGGAATTTTCAAGATTAATATAAATGCAAAATAGAATGCATAATCAAGCAGGTGAGTATAGGGCACTCATCTTGTATCCATTACCTGCTAGCTAAAGGATATCTATCCATTAAATTCAAAGTATCTGGAACAACAATGAAAACCAGAAAGTAACTAAAACAAAAACACTTTCAAAGCTCATTCACTAGAGTTCCTAAATTACAGTCTTAGGAGAAACTCTTAGATCCATTTCGAGACTCTAAATTCACACTCAGTGTATACATTCCAAAAGAGAGCACTATCTGGTTTCTTGGCACAAAGCAGATAGGCAACTAATAAGTCCTGCATTGTTTGCAGTAGGTATACTAACAGATGCAAGAAGTAAAAGAGCTGATGATGGAGATTAAAAACCTGTCAACACTAGCCAGGGACTAAAAAATACAGCCATTGGAAACAACTTGGTACTGCAGTAAACAATTCAAGATATATAAGTCAGCAGCTCATAAGAGCATCACTGTGTTATATCTTGCTACATTAACTTGTTCATTGTGATTATGAGTTGCCAAGGAAAGTTAATATCAAGACACCCTGTTAGTAAGGATGGGAAGAGACAAACACCTATACACACCACTGGTGGACTTGGCAATATATGACCAAAGTCTTAAAAACAAACAAATATTTTGGCCAAGCAGTCACCTTTAAAAATTCATCTTAAAGAGATAAACATGGCAATGAATAATGAATTAGCTATACTAATGTTCAGGGCAGTCCTATTTACTAATAGGAAATTTTTTTTTATTGAAATGTATACATATTTGTGAGAATATTTGTTCTCTTTTCTAGCCATTTGATAACATGCAGTTAAATTATTGTTAATTACAGATGCCTATCTCAATTTATTTTTAATGCATCCTTGGCATTTGGCCATATGGGTGGCCAACTTTCTTAACCAATGTCCTATTTTCTGAAATTTAGATTATTTCCAGTAATTTACTATTCCGTAATAAGTTGAAATTTCAGAAGGAGAGAGCAGAACTGTGGTTACTAGAGGTGGAAAAGGGGCAGGTTGGTTAATGGACACAAAACAGTTAGGAGAAATAAGTTACATGGGTATATAGTCAAGACAAGTAACTATACAGTTGGCACAGAAATGTGTCCTCAATATACTGAATTTTCTGAAAGACTTTTAAAAGAGAATCTCATTCTTGTTTCAAAATATGTATATAAATACACACGGGGATGGAATAAACAAATTCTTCACTGTAGGAATCTAGTGGACAACCTCTTTCTTCAACAGATAAAACAGAAGGAAATTTTTTAAAGAGAGAGAAAAGAGGGAAAACCTGTAGACTAAAAGAGACTTAAGAACATCAAATTACAATGTACAAACCTTATGGACCCTATATTAAAAAATATTTAGGAAACAACAGAGGAAATTTAAATACAAAATTGGATGATATTAAGTAATTATGGGTGGGGTTAATTATATTAATGATTTTTCTTTTAAGTCCTTAATATTTAAGTATATGGAAATATTTATGGCTGAAATAACTGAATGCCTAGAATTTGTATCAAAAGAATACAGGAGTGGGGAATTAGAAGTAGAGATGAAACAAAACTGACCCTAAATTAGTAATTGTTGAAGCTGGGAGATGTATATGTGGGGATTCATTATGCAACTCTATCATGTTTTTATATGTTTGAAATTATTTATAATAAATTTTTATGAGAAAGACTGGATATTTTATATTAAAGAATTCTTAATTGATTTAGGCATGGTAATGATATTGTGACTATGTTTTTTAAAAGTTCCCATATAGATAGATAGATAGATAGATATTTTTTAAGCCACTCAAATTTAGCAGTGGGGGGTTGTATACCAACTTATGTGACACAAATGTTAATAAGTTCTGATAACCCACCACCATCAGACCAGCCTTAAAAGTCCCCCTGTATTTTAGGGAAATATACCCAAGTATTTAACAAATAAAAATGTTCCCCCCTCCCCCAACAGATACAATTTTTAAAATACCTGTAACCTTTCTGACTCAGCTGTGGGAACATCAAAGCAAACACCCTAAAAGCAAAATAAAAATAGTTTTGATTAGATGATATGAGTTGATTTTTTATTAATAAACTAATGCTTGCTGATAATATTAGTTTTAAAAAAGGATTAGATGTGTCCCATGATTGCTTAGAGGATCAAAATAGATGATGCATAACAATGCATGACACAGAGAGACAATGTATTCTCTAATCTGAAAAGTAACTAAACACAATATCTAATCAGAATCTACTACTACTAACAAGAATCTAGAGTGTTCTTTAGAAGTCTCTGTAGATACTATAATGTTGTTCCATGTCTCTTGTAAAGTGATCCTTCTAATAAATTCCTTTTTTTTTTTTTCCTTTTTGTCTTTTTTACTGAGCGGTAACGGGATCGCAACCCTCCGTGTCGCACCTGTACCGGGGACCAGCAATGGGCTCGCAACCCTCGGTGTTACGCCCGCACCGCGCTCAGCCAGTGAGCGGGAACCGGTCTCCAC